AAAGAAAGAAAGAAAGAAAGAAAGAAAGAAAGAAAGAAAGAAAGAAAGAAAGAAAGAATTCAGCTTTCAATCATCTGAGTTAGTTTTTTTGTTGTCATAGTTTAGAATTATGTGTTAATTCTGTTTTATCTATTGATATAGTTAGGTTTTCTTGGTCTTCAATAAGTTAATATTTTGATAATATCTGTCTCACCTCAATTTTCAAAAAGCTGTTGGCATAATATTCTTTTTTGTCATTTATATTTTACCTCTATGTTTCCATTTTTATTCCTAACATTACATATGAACATATACTTTCATTGATTTTGATTATAAAAAGGTTACCTATTTTATTCATATTTCACAGAAATAGTTTTTATTCTACTACAATGATATCTGCATTTTTACTCACTTAATTTTCCTGTTTTATAGATTACTTATTTTAATGCTTAATGTATTTTCAGTCTTTCAACTGCTTCTGTTACATGTATTTACATAGCAAGATTACATTCTAAATAGTTACTAACATCCTTCAGTTTGACCAGCAATACTTTATTAACTTATTTAAGATATTTATGTATTGTCTAATTTTTGACAGTAATCATTTTAGATATTTGAGATATGTCAATATTAAAAAACAGAAACAGAATTGCCCCTGCCCCTATGGAGCTCACAGTATGTTGTTGTTGTTTTTTTTTTTTTTTGTTTTGTTTTTTTTTTTGGTGGTGGGGGCAGTGGAAAGAATAAGAAATAAAAAGAACAAAAATAAAATTGCATGATTATGTTAGAAAGTGAAGAGTGCCATAGACAATCTAAAACAAGTGAGGATAAGAGATTGGGAGGGAAGTAGTGATCCAATGAGATGTCAGATAGGAAAGGTAGAGCATGTCTCACTGAAAAGGTCGCATTTAAACAAAAACTGAAGAAAGAAGAGTTAGTCCAGAAGTTAGCCAAGACTACATAACTAGATAATAAACCTGGATATTGTTAAGTACAGATTAAAGGGACATAGGGAAGAATCAGAAATGCTTTCAGAGATAATGGTGTCTGTGAACAGCTGGTAGCAATAATGAGATTGGACATAACTTGTATACATTTTCAAAGTAGAGAATATAGGATGTACTAATGGACTGGATATGGTGTGACAGAGGAATAGAGTACACAGTTATGATTCCACAATACTTGCCAAATGTATGGATGATTATCAGTGGAGAAGAGGTGATCTGTATGCAAAGGAAGAAAATATTTTGAATTTTGGTTTTTAATGTGTTGAGTATGAGAAAAGTTGTGCACATCTAACTTGAAATGTGGAGTAGGTAGTTGGGATTTTTTAGAGTTCAAGAGAAGTTTATGATAGAGAAATAAACTTGGAATTTGTCAACTTAGAGATGTTATTAAAATCATTAGAATGGATGCTACCTCCAAAAAACACCACATAGAAAGAAAAGAGTACCAAAGGCAGAACCCTAAAGAATTTAGGTAAGTTCAGATAAAAGAGAAGAAACCACTAAACAAAGATTTTAAAAGAACAACTAGTCAAGAAGAACACAAAGAGAATCTGGTGTTTTGAAAATAAAATGAAAAAAGTGCATCAAGGAAGGAGCTATCAGTTGTATCAAAGGCCATCCATGGGAAGGTTGAAATGTGAGATGTGTAAATGTGAAAATTTACCTTTTGGACTAAGCACTGAGATATCATCATTGACTTTCACAAAGACTTTTGTGTTGCTTATGGTACTCTAGTACAAGTCAGAGCTTAGGCCATCAAAAGACTGAAGAATGGGAGAAGTCAGGGGGGAATCATGGATTATAGATTTTAAAAAGGTTAAGGAATTGTGGGCATTGGGCACTACACTGAGTTAGAGAGGAGCTGATGGTCACAGATTAGGATACATGAAATTGAAACTATAGAGAAATTACAGTAATTGACAATTGTAAACTCTTTGGCATAACCATTGGAGTAAGTGGCTAAAGGAAGGATATGGACAAAATAATTGGAGGATCAAAGTTTAAAGAATGAATGGCTAGAGTATAGAACGGATTATCTGTGTATATATTGAAGCTTCCAAGAATTACTATCAAAGTGGTATGTAAAAGAGGAACAGTGAGACAGTAGCTAAAATCGTTACAAAATCAAGGGTGACGTCTCAGGACCAGCATATGATAATGGCAATGAGATGTGGTGGTTAATATAGCTTGATGACCTGAGAAACAGAGCTGGAGATTTTAGGAAAAATTATTGTATTAAATTTTGCTGTACAGCAATTAAATAAAAATTTAGGACCATAAAAACACAGCAAATATTTATGAGAGTTGGTCAGGTATTTAAGAGTACCATTTCTTCATGTTTCTGCCTTGGGAATGTCTCTTATGACGTTGCAACTTTCATGTCATCCTTGACTGGGTCATCAGAGTTATTTTTATTGGACCTGCAAGATTTATTTCTAAAATTGCTCACTCATATGATTGGCAAGTTGACGCTGGTGGGTGGAAGAAAATCTCAGTTAGTAAAAATATGGACTTGTGGATTTGTCTATAGAGCTGGTCTATGGGTCCTCAGGACATGACTGCCAGATTCACAGCAAGTGATTCAAGAGAAAAAAGGCAGATGGTTCAAAGTCTTTAATGACCTACTCTGAAACTCACACTTTTATCACTTCCCACATTGTGGAAGAGGACTACACAAAAGTGTGAATACCAAGAGATGAGAATTATTGGGGATTATATTTGAACATGGCTACCAAAAAGGTGGGAATATGTTCTAAATTTTATTTTGGAAATATAAGAATACGAGGGTGCCTGGGTGGCTCAGTTGATTGAGTGTTCAATTCTTGATTTCGGCTTAGGTCATGATCTCATGGTTCATGAGTTCAATCTCCTCGTCAGGCTCTGGGATTCTATCTCTCCCTCTCTGCCCCTCTCCCCAAATTGTGCTCAGTCTCTCTCTCTCTCTCAAAAATAAATAAATAAAATTTACCAAATAAAAATGAAAAAATAAAAGAATACCTAGTTCATTTACAAAACAGTGATATAAGGACTCAGAAAAATAAAGCCACAACTGAGAAAAATAAAGCCATCGATGAGAGACACTATGAGGGAATTCACATACTAATTACTGCATCCTGGTGATAGTTGGATTGCAATTTGAACAAAATGAATGAAGGGACCACTCAGGTAATATGTTGACAGTATAAAGATTTTATGCAAAACTCTTATGCATAACATTGAATTTCAAGGAATAGAGTAAAACATTTTAAAAAGTTGATATAAGACTGCAAAAGGAGAAATAATAGAGATGTATAAAGCTTTACTGGATTCAGGTGTAAAAACAGAAAGATAACATGGCAGTTTAGAAGTTTCTTGGTAACTGAGATAAAGACATAATGAGATTTGTTCTAATAGATTTTTGCAGATACCGGTAGGAAGGATTTGAGTAATATGGCATATGACCCAGGGAGTTTCTGGGTTTCTCTTCTTCATTGGGTATGTAGAGGTCCAAGGGAAAGTAAGGTTTTAGCCCCGTGTTCAGTCCTATCCTGAGGACTATAAGTTTCTAGGAGAAATGGGCTTAATCCCAGTTGTTTTATAAGAGAGTTTTAGTTGCTCCTCTAGGAGAAAAGCTACTCTAGCTCTGTGCTTTCTTTTGCTAGCGTTTGATGGACTGAATGACTAATGAGGAAGCTGGGTGTTACACCAATGTGTGGGTCTCTTCGTCAACCATGAAAATAGGAGTAGAGGGTTTAGGGGAAGAGACATGCTCTTACTTTCATCTTTTTGTATCTACAATTATTTTGTAATTCTGATTATGATTTCATTTTTACTGGAAGAGCTTTTTAGATGTATTTATTTTTAAGTTCCCAAAATGCAACAGGATGGGGAGGGGCTTTTTAAAATCAGTGATTTTTTAATTGAATTATATTATTTTTAAAGAAGAGGATTTGTATGGTGGTGAATACTATTTTTGTCACCATTTCTTATAAATATGACTTTCTGTGCCCTAAATGATGATCACATTTTGGAAAAGGGTTATGTTTGATAGTGGTTGTGGGGTTATTACGAACATGTTGAGATCTATCTATGTCATCATATGAATGCATATTTGTTGCTATATATGTGGATATAGATATATACATTTTGTATTTCATGTTATAAAATATGCATTTATAATATGTAGAATATTAATATGTATTCTGTATAAACTGCTGTTAAATCAGTGTTCTTAATACTTATTTTTTCTCCTGGCTGGTTCATTTTGAGACAACTTGATGTTAAATATACTTTTATTACTTGAATTTTAACATTCAGGTATTAAAATTTTTAGTCTATTGTAAAAGGTATGTAACAATACATGCTTTTTATATCTTGATGAGTAATTATATTTAGATACTGTCCTTTATTTCTATACTCTCTGTTTAAATCCTCATGAGATTATTATATTGCCTTTCATTTATAGATTTGTCTACAATTTTTCTCAGCCCATTCCTTGATTTTCTACCCTTCTGAATCATGATTTAGGTAAGACTTTTTGAAACCGTGTATTGCTGTAATTTTAAAAATACATTTCAAGAGTCTGTTTAAATGATTTTTAAACCTTACATTATGGTCACTAATATATGTGAAATTGTCCTTAACATGTATACTGTTTCTATTGAGCATCTTTTCTTTTTCTCCTTTTCTGCCTTATTTTAGATCATTGGTTCTCAAGTGAGGCTATTTTTGGTTGTCCCAGCAGTGACAGTGAGGGGTGCTACTAGCATCAATGAGGTATGTCTAGGGATGCTACTCAACATCCTACCACGCATAGGATACCCTGCCCAACAAATGCCTTACCTAAAATATCCATATGCTGAGATCTATTCCAAAATATGTGTTCTGTATCCTATTCATTTTTTTTGCTTCTATCAATTTTACAGAGATTTTTAAGATTACTTTAGTTATTAAAACAGTCTTTAGAGTATGTTGAAATAATAGATATTTTTATTCTCTTGTAGTGCTAGAAAATAGTATTTTGAAAGACTTAAACTAATGCGGTTTTAAAGTGTATTTTTAACCACCCCACACTGAGTTATTGTCAATATATTTACAGAGTAGTTACATACATATAACATATAGATGTTATATGTTTATATTTATATTTATATATTTATTTCCATAGATTTTACCATTTTCTTTACTTCTTATACCTCGTTCTTTCTCTCTGGGTCTCCTCTCCTGCTTGCTGAGTTGGATGGCATATTATCTCGCTTTCATTACATCTAAAACTTTTAATTTCACTTACATTATTTAATAATAGTGCAGCTGGAATAAAATTATATTCATAATTTTCATAGTAAATTCCCTTCAGCACTTTTAAGATTTTATTAAAATAACACATTTTTGCTCGCTGTGATCAGAATGTTATCACTAAATGTTATTTATTACCAACATCTTTTTTACTTGCTAAGTCAGTCATTTTGATTCTGTGTGTCTTGGTGGAAATTAGCTTTTGACCCATTTGAAACCCATTACAGTTTTGTTGTTATTTAGTTGGATAACACATTATTTTAGTTCTGAAAAATTATTGGTATTGTCTTGTGAAATGGTATATTCTTTAAGTTGTCTGTAAATTTCTGAAATTATTATTAGAAGCCTAATGGACCATTTTTTTATCCTCTATAGTTCAAATTCTATTTTGTGTTTTCTATCTTATAATTCCTTTGCATAATCATAACGTTTTGGGGATATGCTTGAATTCAATTTTTACTTCATCTGTCTAGTTTTAACTTTTAATTCTCCATTAATTATATTTTCATCTTAAATATTCTGATTTTTGGAATTGTAGAGACTGGAACTTCTGTGTTTAGCTTCATCAGATATACTTATTTTAATTTTTACAGTGCCCTCTTTTCCCCTTATGTATTTTCTACATTCTTATCACTGTTTACCTCATGGTCACATATGGCAAGTCAATATCTAGCGTCAGTGTTCTAAGAAAAAGAGAAATTAAGTTCCAATATCTGGAGCATATCTATCTTTTTAAAAGGTTATCTTGGAATTCCTACCCCATTGTGGTCCCAATTACAACAGTGGAAAAAAAGGAGTAAGTAACTTTCCTCAGAAAGAGTCCCCAGAAAACCATACAAGAACTTAGAAAAGTGCATGTATGAGTTGTAATGGGTAGATTGCTACTGCCATTAAAGTGCTCTGCTCGAATCTCTTTGGAAGCATTTTATGGGGAGTATAGCTGACTTTCAGCCTTCAGCTGTAACCCTATTAGTTCCATCACATACAGACCAAGGCCTGTTTCTTTTGGGCTCTACAGCCCTGCTTCTTCCAGGCTGCACCCAGCCAAAGACTAAGCCTGATACGGAGTCCTATGTTCATTTGACTTCTGTCCACTTTAGGACTCCATTGAGGGGTGGCTCATTGGCCAGGTCAGATTTTTCTCACAACTGGCATGTGGACCGAGACACTTCCTACCCAGACCTTCTTTTTACAGTTGTTAATCTTGCATCATTATCTGAAAGCTCTCCATTCCTACCCCTGCTCTCATGGTGGACCACCTTTCATCTTGGAGTTTGTGAAGGCATTTTCATTAGTTTCTGGATATGTTGTCCAGAAGATTTTGGATTCCCCAGTAGTTGGTCTAATTAGGATTGGGAAAGACCCAAATCTGTGTTGCCACCACTGCCACCACATTCTCCAAACTCCAACCATTAAGTTTGTACAGATAAAGGTCTAATGTTTTTTTATCAGCTGTATCATCCATATGATATCCATATTCTAAACAAATACTGAGGTATATAATTTTCTTATTTATTCAGTAATTTTAGAACACATAGTGGAAATGTGGATTCTAGAAAGTTACTTCTAAGCACAACTATAGGCAAAGCACAGAGAAACTGAGTTCAGGAGAGTTGACAGTATAATTGCGACAATATCAATAATTTTGCCATAATTAATGGGCTGAATTTATATATAAAGCAATTTTTTAGACAATTTCCATACAGCTGCTAATAAAATTATAAATAGGAGTAGAGGAGTCATAATATATTTCTCTTATTCTAGGAGTAAAAGCTCACTATAGAGTTAATCCAGGAATTTTTAGGAGTTAACATTATCATCTCCACAGTGAACTTTCTTGTATTCAGCAAACTTTGATAATTCTGCAAGTGAAGATATGTACTCAGATTTTATTTATTATTTTACATTTATTTATTTATTTATTTTGAGACAGAGACGGAGGGGCAGAGAGAGAATCCCAAGTCAGGCTGCTTATCCAGTGCAGAGCCTGATGTGGTGCTCAATCCCACAAACCACGAAATCATGACCTGAGCCAAAATCAAGATTTGCACACTCAATTAACTCACCACCCAGGTACCCCAGTACTAAAATCTTAGTACAAAGAATATCAGTATTCATGAGCAAATGAAAAGTGACATCCTTTATTTTAGCAAATTATACATAAGATATTCATTTGGCATATATAATTTGTAGAGATAAAGAGAAAAGGTACATTCAGTTGGAAATTCTATGCCATGGCACACAATTCTGACATAAAAGGAAATGGCATTGTAAAAATTGAAGTCATTTTGACTGAGAGAAGTAAAACAGGAAATTTCTAAGTAACAGAAAGCAGTTAAAGCTGCCCTTAGAGAACTGTAACTTACATAACTATAACTTACTGACACTTAAAAGAGAGATAATAATTTGTGTAGACACTAAGTTTGGCAGAGCTATGGGGATAATATATCTTTTTCAATATGAAACATTATTTCATTTTTGATGTCAAGTCTTTCCTACAATATTAACTTTTTATACTATGTTTTCCTCAGTGACCTTGACCAACATGTGAGAAATAATCAACCCCATTTTCCTATGTCTTGAAGAGATGTCAGTCAGTGTAGTATATGTCCTCATTGGTACTTGAAAGCTGCATCCTCCTTAACAAACAAAAAACAATGAATTTTATATTAGGCAGATGTGAAATCAACCGAACCATGAGTTTTAGTCTGCAGAATATTTTAGATTGCAACAAAATAGTTTCTGTTTCCATCCAGTGGGATTTTGTGATACGGAATTATTGTGAGATAAAATTCATGGTAGACGAGACAAAGGCAGGGTAGTCTGAGACCTAATCTTGATTTTTCCACATTTAATATATTTATTTTTAGAATTATATGTAAATGTTATCCCCCAAATTTCAAGCTGTTAAATACATTTGCCATGTGGCATGTCACTAATTGCATTAGTATTTATTTGATCACCAGATTGCTCATATGATAGTCTTTAGAAAATGCATTTTTCTACAGTAACTTTTGGGAATCCTTGCTTCCTCCAGGATACTAGGTTCACTGTCCACTGCTTAATTTTGAAATTAAAGTAAATAAGTGCTTGATACTTCATCTCTCTGGCTTTACAACCAAAGCAACCTGCGTCTTACCATTCTAGTATGATTCTGGAAGAGACTTTTCCATTTTGTTTTTCACGTTTATTCATTTTTTGAGAAACAGAGTGTGATCAGGGCAGGGCAGAGAGAGGGAGACACAGAATCTGAAGCAGGCTCCAGGTTCTGAGCTGTCAACACAGAGTACAATGCGGGGCTTGAACCCACAAACCATGAGATCATGACCTGAGCCGAAGTTGGACATTTAAACGACTGAGCCACCCAGGTGCCCTGGAAGAGCCTTTTCAAACCTTCCTAGGGAGCAAGAAACTCATTTTTTCTTAGTCACTACTGCACATGGATCACCAACACTTTGGACAGGCAAGGAGATTAGGAGAATTTCTCTTAATTCACCATTAAATATCCTATCATTTCCTCTTTCCCACCCCACCAACAAAACGTGCCACCAAAGCCATTTTGAGTGATGTCACTCAAGGCATTTTTTTTTTTCTCATCTGTTAAATGGCAATGGTATGGGCTTGAAAGGACTGTTATGAGGCAGTATATTGGAACTTCCTAAGAAAGTAATAAACTGCCCAAGTGGCAGCTATGCTGTGATGTTCTGTAAAATCTTTGCACACCTATTGTGAATCATTATTTCAAATTGACAAATTAAAGACAAACAAATACACAGATAACAGACAGCCAGTTACCAGCAGTCTAAGGAGGTCCCCACAATGAATTTTCCCTTCTTTGATTTTTTAAGTCATTTGGAATATGACCATTGGTGGATTACATTTAAAACAAAACTTTACTAATGTCCTACACCCAACCAAAGAAAGCTTCAACTAAATCACCAGTATTCTTATTTTGAACATTTTGGAAATGTCTCTTTGTCTATTTTTTCCACAGGTATATTTAATGGGATTATGTTAGCTTTTGATCCATAGGTTACCACCATTAATGTTTACATTCTCTTCATATGATACAAAATTTATATTATAAACTATATAGCATATATAATTTATATATTATATACTATAAAATTATAAACCTAATTGTTTTATTATAATAAACTATAAAATCCCTTAAATAAACCTAGACTTCAAGATTCTAAACTAAAACACAATACTTATTGTAATTTTTATTCTTTTAATATGAAATTTATTGTCAAATTGGTTTCCATACAACACACAGTGCTCATCCCAACAGCTGTCCTCCTCAATGCCAATCACCCACTTTCCCCTCACTCCCACCCCCAATCAAACTTCAGTTCATTCTCAGTTTTTAAGAGTCTCTTATTATTTACCTCCTTTCCTCTCTAGCTTTTTTTTTCCCCTTCCCCTCCCCCATGGTCTTCTGTTAAGATTCACAGGATCCACATAAGAGTGAAAACATA